TGAGAAGAGAAATAAAACAAGAAAGAGATGAGAAGAGAAATAAAATAAAACAAGAAAGAGATGAGAAGAGAAATAAATATAAAACAAGAAAGAGATGATGGACGAGGGTAGTTGCTCATTGACGGGTGGCATAGCCTCACAGGGAGTCCGTAGCCCAGAGCCAATTCTTTTGACGCAAGTGGCGATGGACCTTCGTCTTGAAGGATTGGAGAGACTTCAACTGGGGCATCGGATCCGGAAACATGTCTTGCGGAAGCCTGTTCCATTCATCCACCACACCATATGGGAACGAACGCTGGAGAAAGTTGGGGGCCGTAGGGAGGAGCACTGCTTGTAGCTGATGCTGGTGGCGGACACGGAGCTGCGACCTTGTCCGCGGGACGAGGCTAGCTTCCTGGCGAGGCGGCACGAGCGCAGAGAGATCTGGATGGTCTTGAAGGCACATTAGCTTGTACATGTACGTGAGAGCGTACACTTGGCGGCGGGCAGCTAGGCTCTGCAGCAAGGCGTCAGGACCAATGATAGCAAGGGCCTTCCGCTGTACTCGGTCGAGACTTTGCAGGTGAGAGTTGGCTGCGCCCATCCATGTCAATGGTGCGTATTCGAGTACAGGGCGTACGAAGCCTCTGTACGTTGTCAAGCGTCCTTCACGACCAAGGAAACTTGATGCTCGACGCAGAAATCCTAGTCGGGCTACGGCACGAAGAGAAACATTGCGGAGATGGCGTCTGAAGGTGAGTTTGCCGTCGAAGGTCACTCCCAGAAGCTTCAGCTCGTCCCCACAGGGAATATCATGGGCTCCGAACGTTACGTCTGGGAGTGGCCAGGGGTTGCGGTGGTGGCCAATATGCAGCAGCTGCGACTTTGTCGGCTCAAAGCGAATTTGCCATTGTTCTCCCCAGCTACTCAATCGATCCAGGCTAGATTGCATGTCTGCAATACTGCCAGCAGAGTCATGTCTGGATCGTATGATGGTGTACAGCGTGGTGTCATCTGCGTACACACCCATTCGTGTTGATGGGGAAAGACAAGTCTCAGCATCGTTGACATACATCAAGAATAAGGTGGGTCCCAGGATGCTGCCTTGGGGTACGCCAGCTTTAATCTGGAATTGAGCAGATTCCTGTCCATTGACGATTGCGCTTAGTGTGCGATTCCGCAAATAGTCCCGTAGCCACTGCAGCAGGCTACCGCCAATACCGAGAGTGGCCGCTTTGTGTAGGACGCCGGGGTGCGACACGCGGTCAAACGCACCAGCAATGTCGACAGCCAGGACGTGGGCACAGCCACCAGAACCAGCTGCCAGCGACCAATCATGCCCAAGCACTGCTAGTAGGTCCGCTGTTCCAAGGCCACTGCGAAATCCGTACTGCTTGGTTGACAAGAGATGATGTTTTTCAAGGTGATTCACAATTTGACAGTTCACAATACGCTCCATCATTTTGGAGATGATGGGGAGGAGGGAGACTGGGCGGTAATTCTTAGGGTTGGATAGGCTGCCCTTCTTGTAGACTGGCACAACTCGAGCACTCTTCCAGGCCTCTGGCTGGACACCCTTACGGAAGCACAGGGCGAAGAGAGACGTGAGAGGCGATGCAAGTTCATGGGAGCACTCTTTGAGCACTCGGGCAGGGATGTTGTCCGGACCGGACGCCTTGCCAACGTCGAGCTGGTTCAGGAGGCGTTTCACTGTTTGCAGGCGGAAGTGGATTCGGCTAAGTGGGGTGACCCCGGGTTGGCGAACATGAGGGAGATCCCCCGGGCCCAAGTCATCATCTCCAATGCTACATTTATTGGCGAAGTAGCGACCAAGGCAGTTCGCTTTGGCAGCATTCATACGGAGTTGGTGACCAGCGTCATCTACCAAGCATGGTATAGACGAGCCATGACTGGCGCCAGCAGCAGATTTGAGCACCGACCACCATTGCTTGTCTTTCAGGCCTCCGCGTGACAGTTTCCGACGAACTCTCAGTTCCCAGGATGTGCGAGCTCGCACATTCGCGAGGATAGCATCTTCTACTGAGCGCATGAAGCAAGCCTTGTGGGCTTCGCTGAAAATATTGTGTCTCCAGGCCTTCCATGCCTTGTCTTTAGTGTTCAATGCTGTGGTGCACTCAGGAGTCCGCCATTTGGGGTCTGCTGGGCGGGTAACAAGCTGCTTGGCGGGGATAAATTTCTGCATGCCACTGGAGATGACGTCACTTAGCTTCCTGCAGGACTCTTCAGGGTCGTCAGTCACAATGGTGGACCAGTCAGTAGTGCGATAGAAGGCCCGCAGGCGCCCCCAGTCTGCCTGATTGTAGCGCCAGACAGTCCTGGAGGTAGCTTGCTCAGCATCAGGGGCGAGGTAAAAGTCGGCAAGAACAACCCCATGGTCAGAGCGACCAAGTGGCGCTTTGACAGTGGTGTCGATAGGAACGGGCATGTTGGAGAGGATGAGGTCCAGGGTGTTCAGACCCCTAGTTGGCTGCAAGACATGCTGGTGGAGTTGATGCTCAGCACACAATTCTTCTAAGGCCTCTCCAGCTACAGTTGTTTTGCTGCTGCAGAGCCAAGTCTCGTGATGGACATTAAAATCCCCAGCTAGCACTATGTGAGTGCCGTGAGTGCGGGCCACGTCTAGTGCAGGTCCAAGATACTCAATCAGACAGGTGTCGTTGTCCGCACAGGATCCAGGCCGATACAAGGCACCGATAACAACAGATTGTTGCGTGGAAAGACTCACGGCGAGCCAGAGGACTTCGTGGTCATCAGTGGGAATCTGGTCGAGGTGCACTACTGGGAGGCCGGACTTCACCCATACAGCAATGCCGCCACCAAATGCATCCCGGTCACGTCGGATGGGAAGCGAGTATCCTGGAAATATTGTCTCAGAGGCTACGGTCTGGGCCGAGAACTTCGTTTCTGTGATAACCGCTATGTCGACGTTATCGTTGAGCAGTGCATGCTGCAGCTCTCCCAGCTTGTTGGTGAAGCCAAATGCATTGGTCACCAGCCAGCGGAGCGGCGGAGCTCCACTGATCATTGCGGGGTGCCAGCAGATGCCGTGCTGTCGCTGTCAGCGCTGTCAGCACCATCCAGTGTAGGGTCACCTCTCGCAGCGCCGGCAGGGTGTTGTCGATTGGGCTTCGGGCGGTCTCGGTACTCCCATGGCCGGGCGTATAGAGGCCTTGGCCAGAAGTCCGGAGTTGTCACGAGGCTCAGGTCTGTGGCATCTATACAAATCCTAGCTGACACCTTTCCCGTCTGCGTTGTGTGGATGCTGCTGTTGTGAACACTGGCCGTTGATCCCACTGCCTCAGCGCGCCGCTTCACGAAAGTTTTGATGCTCTCTTCAGAGCAGTTTGTACCTAGGTTGCCCACAAAGATTACTGTTTTCTTGGCCCTGGGGGGTTCCTGTGCAACTAATTGCCAGCTGTCGTCAGCAATGATGTCCAGGGTCTGGGGCTCGTTGTCGTCGTCCTCCAGCTCCAAGTTGCGCTGGCCAGCATGCTGCACGTCGCCCTCATCAGTCGTGGCCCGCGTGGCATCCTGGGACTGGTCCCGCGTGGCATCCTGGGCCTGGCCCTTGCGCGTACGGGTACGCCGTCGACTCTGCGGAGTACGAGTTCTCTGGGGTTCGTCAGCTGTGGCAGGCCGAGGAGAAGCAATGGCGGACTCCCTGAGGGCGACAACCTCCTCGTTCAGCCCTGCAATTTGCCTCGATAAGTCGTCAATTCTGTTATTCAGTCATTCTTCGCGGTCTGCGGACTCCGTTACCAATGCTGCTAACGTCTTCATCACATCTACTACCGACGACTCGATCCCGGGGGGGGGGGGGGGGGGGAGCACAACAGCTTTACCTCGGAATCCGCCAGTCCACGAACGGCAGATTTAGTTGGAGGCATGGCGGAGGTGACCCAACGCTATCAGATGCCTACCTAGTTTTCTACTACTACTACAAACTAATACCTAAATCCTAATGTTTGAAACCATGTGCAGACTTTCTTCCATTTTTGTCCCAAACCAAGAGCATACTCCTCTGAATCATTCAACACTGCTCCATCGGCTCGAATGGCCGACAATGTTCTCTCGCCGCAAAGTGAAGCTCACCCTTCTTGCTCACCCAATAAAATACCAATATGCCCCACAACACATACGCTTGCTCAACACCCCCGCTCAAGTTATGGCCCAGTACAGCCTTCGACACGCACGCACTTAGCACCTCCCACCCTCCAGAACCGATCGCTGTAAAGACTCCCCACTGTACAAGTCCCTAGAATACTACAATGCCCTCCCTGCTAGCATTCGTGACATCTCCTCCCGACCTGCTTTCAAACAAGAAATCTGCTCACTGCTGATTAACTCAATCTGCTCCTGCAGCGCTCACCCTCTCCCATACTTGTAAAGTTCAAAGTGATGTAAATCACTTTCCAACTGTTCAACCCACAATCTCACCTTCTCATAAATTTATCTCTTATTGGCGATGGTGCCATCGGGAGAATAAAGAAGTCAAATTCAAACAACAAACAAGGATAGAACAAATTATAATGATGTGAATAGCTTAATCAATGAGGTGCAAGAGAAGCACACTATCAGTTCGTCGTTGCTACTAATGCTAATGTCAATTAACTACTCAAGAGCTTCTTCCAGCAAATCGCGCAACCGTTTGCGGCAGGCTTTTACTTATGGCTGGTGTTGCCTTGAAGCTGAGGCATGTCTCTGAACCTCGGGTGCACTGGATGGTCATGAGGTTGCTCAGCATTTTTGTACTCAGGCTGTTGCGGCTCGATGTTTTGGGCTCCCCGATCTGCGAGAGGTTGCGCTCAATTGCAGCAGAAGAATGGGGAATGGCGAGCAGAGCAATTGCCAGCTGGACAACAAGGCTGTAGCGAGACGATCATTGACCATTGCGTGGATATCCACACAATGGTGCTTTTGCCTATGTCGCTATCCATGTGCTGCTATTCAATGTACACATACAAATTGCCTTCATGCTCTTTTCTTATCTTGGTCTGTAGGTATCTGGGCAGAAACAAACTTTCAAGCCTTCCTCAGATTATATATGGGAACCCAGGAAACGAGGTAGTGGTAGCGACTGGGCTGGATTTGCCATTTCAAGAAAGCGGGATCGAAATCGGGAGCGGAAGCGGCAGTGGCAGTGCTGGTGAAGGGAGCAAATTAATCATATTGTAAGTTAAAATATACTCTAGAAACCTCAGAGCAATGCTCACATGGTGTGGTGGTCTTGTCTTTCTTCTATGCTCTATAGTCCATTGGTTTCAGTGGCAAAATCATTTTCCAACCCTCGGGCCATTTCGAGGTGCTCCTCATTTCACCTGCCGATCTTCGACCGTTTACAGAAAACACATTCACAGAAGGACCAATCACAGAATGACCATTCGGAGAACAACGTTTCTCAGAATGACAGTCCAGATTCACCGAAATATCTATTCATCGAATTTTCATGCAGAGACTTTTGTTTCATCGAATCCCGATTCACAGATATATTTTTTCATCGAATCGACACTTCGTAATTTCAAATTTTGACTTCACGAAGAATTTCAAAGTGTTACGAAATTAGAGGCCACATGCGACGTACTGCTCTTTTCTCTCCGAAACTCAGCACTTGCAAGCCAGATATGAAAGAATGGACAGTTCACCGAGAATTACTTATATTTGGCCCAAATGTCCACGTGGGACAAAATTTGCAATGTTAATGAAAGTTTGCTGTTGTGAAGACTGTGAAATGGATATTGAGCAAGGACGGGGCTAATATTCTCGCAGAAAAGGGGGACAGGGGGAGAGAAGGGGGAGGAGGCGGGAAGTGGAAATAATGGCATTAAGCATACACTGTTAAAATGTAAAGCGAGGCTTTTTCCAGGCTCTGCACCAGTACTCGTCCACCACGGCCCCCTGCAACCTCCTCCTCCCCCTCCCCCTGCCCCATCACACATAAAGTGCACATAAAGTGCACATAAAGTGCACATAAAGTGCACATAAAGTGCACATAAAGTGCACATAAAGTGCACATAAAGTGCACATAAAGTGCACATAAAGTGCACATAAAGTGCACATAAAGTGCACATAAAGTGCACATAAAGTGCACATAAAGTGCACATAAAGTGCCGATTCTCGAAATAAAATGTCAACTACATGTATCCGGATGATCCATTATTCGAAATGCTTGCTTGCATTGAATTGAGGGGTAGAAGATGAGTTTCACGTTGTTGATTTTCCTCGATAGGGGCACCATTCAAGCGATTCACAACAGGTTTGAGTCAAAATGCGTAACAATAGTGTCATTAATTTAGAGGAGTTTGAGGGGCCGTTTGCATGAGAAAAATAAGCCCGGGCTTATTCAACCCTAGGCTTACGATAAGCCCGCCTTGATCTGTCACCCAGTCATTTTAAAGCGCGCGTTTACATGGTCAGGCGGGCTTATTCAGCTCGCCCCGAGCTGAACTAGCCCTACCCTTGACCCCCGAGCTTATCCAACCCCCAGGGCTTATTTTGTCATGTAAACGGTCAAGAAGGGCTTATAAGCGAGTTTTTCCGTATTTTTCGATTTTGCCTCGTGAACCTGAGAGAATGTGGCCGTGGACAGTGCGTCTCTTTTATTTATTTCTTGGTATGTTTTCTTCTGGTTTTTGTCCAGTGGAAGGTCCTAGCCCATCCTTCACCTTCTCGAAAAATAAGTGACAATTGGAAAGGCAGTAGAAACCTGAGCCGGCATTTCTTGATCCAAATTTCATCAGACACGAACATTTACCACTGCGTTCATGTGCGATTTGAAAAATAAAATGCGCGCAGAACTCGCAGTCACTCACCTGAACTCGGTCCCGTACAGCCGTCATGTAAACGGTTGAAAAATAAGCCCGAGGCGAATAAGCCCGGGCTTATTTTCCTCATGTAAACGGCCCCTGAGTGCGTCTAATTCCTGTTGCACTGCCGAATAGAATGAAAAATGATGAAGACATTTCTGGAATATTTGAAAAGGCGGCGAGGTGACAAACGTTTTGGAAGGGATGGCAATAAAACAGAATTAACTGAGGTGTCATGTCACAAAGGATTTATTGTGATGTCACGAACAAATTGTAGATTCCTACTATTGTTAACCGCAATCAATAACACAAGCTGAATCGACATTTGTGTATACTTTATTCATGCAATGTAAAACTGTGGAGACAATGCAATAAAACGATGAAAATAGGAGGAAATAGTGTACATACAAATTAGGATCCAAGAAAGTTTTCGCACAACATTCATCAGGAATCGTCGTTGTACTTAAGGATACTGAAAAATTGAACTATAATAAGAAACCAAAGTTAGAGAAATAATACCAAAATCCTTCAAAATCACCCTGGAGTGCAGTAGAGAGTTTTTTTGCTCTGGTTTTCAGTGGTGTATTTTTGGTAAGGTGAGCCCATTGTGGCTAGACTTTGCAATAATGAGGTCAGGAATGATAAGCGTAGATGTCCAAGACCAATTTGGCGATCATGATCCAACTGTTGGCGCAATGCCGGAGTCCAGCTCTCAAACTTCTCTTGCCCAGCTCATAGAATTGTTCCAAGCCGAACGAAGCACAGCGGAAGACAGGGAGAAGAGGCTTAAGGTTCGCATAGACCTGTTGACTCAACAAGTACAATCTTTGACGCTGATGATCACGAATGCTACTTTGCATTCGGTTGAGTCAACATCAACTAGCTCGGCCGCCATTGCCAGTGCAGGCGAGAAGAAGAAACGTAAGCACACAGCAGCACAGCAGAGTGGAAGCAACAACAGAAAAGACCGTACGACCTCTAGTACGTTGGCGTAGGTTGAGACCCCGCTTCGTTCAATCGGCGACTTTCAAACGGATTCAAATAGTGATTCCCACGGTCACGGCTGGCGATGCAAGTGATGCGCTTTCCCGTTTTCAAAAGTTTGAAGATTTGTCCGAAGATAGTGATTGCAATGGTGCACAGTGGAAGGTTGTCACATCGAAAAAACCAACAGAGAGAAAGAGTGTCTTGTTCATAGGAGATTTGAAGAAGGATATGTCAGTGGAGCAGCTGGAAAACGTCGTTGTGAGCAGAGCGGATTGTGCTGGTGTTTCTGTTCGTGTCTACAGTTTCAAAGTGTTTTCGAAGGCAGACTTGTCATCTGCACGGATTGTTATAAACTCTAGCACCAGCGGTTTTGTTGAACACCGACGATTCTGGCCCAAGCCAGTGTACGCCAGGCAGTGGAAGTTTGAGGACACCAAGAAGCCCCAACATGAATCCAATAATCGCTCCAATTCCGTCGCCAACTAGTCTGTTGGAGATGGACAGGCTATGGACTGAATCGTCACCCATGGATCTGTCAGCAGCAATTGCGTTTCTGAACGTGTGTATTTTGCGCACTAAAGTAGCTGAAGTCAAGGAGTTCATGTCCTCAAGGAGCATACATCTGTTTGGAATTGCAGAGACCTGGCTTAAACCTTCAGTAACTGATGGCGAGTTTTCAATTCCTAACTAAACATAGTTTCGTAAAGACCGCCGATGGCATGGTGGAGGTGTGTGTGTGTGTGTCTACTGTCATAAGTCGCTAGCAATACGTCGCAGATTGGACTTGGAATGTGAGACCTTAGAACTACTATGGCTTGAGCTTGGCACTGGCGAGCAGAGCATACTCGTTGGATGTGCACACCGACCACCCAACATGCGTGCTGCTTACTGGGAAGATTTCGTGGAGAACATTGAGTATGCTTACCAAGGTCGTCAATCATCTACAGTGCTTATTGGTGATCTGAATTTTGACTTTGGCAATACGCAAACTGGTTCTGCACACCCCGTACATCGCATCCTCACCCGTTTGGCTTAAAAAATTACGTGAACGCTCCTACCAGAGTCACTAGTCACTCACAATCTACCGCAAACTGGTTCTGCACACCCCGTACATCGCATCCTCACCCGTTTGGCTTAAAAAATTACGTGAACGCTCCTACCAGAGTCACGAGTCGCTCACAATCTACCATAGCTATCCACCTATCCACCACCCCCATTCAAGGTCCTTGTGAAATTGTGTACCTGGATATCAGCGACCATTATGCTGTCTTAGCTCGTCTTCCTTGCAAATCTAGCTCAAGACGCCAGGGTGAAACAATGACAAAGAGCCGTCGCCTTCATCGTGTTGATTGGAATACTTTTCAAGTGGACTTAGCCTCTACACTGAATTCATCATTTAACGAGGATTCCATCAATAGTATGGCATGCTCTGTCACAGATGCCATTGTTACTACTCTCAATAAGCATGCTCCGATCACTTTGCACCGTGGTAAGGAACGTCGTCCTGGCCCTTGGCTCACAGATGAACTTGTTGCATGTGTTCGAGAGCGAAACCGGCTTCACCGTCGCCTTCGGCGAAATCATGCAGATGCTATACTACATGCTGCTCACCGAGAAGCAAGAGCCAAAGCCAGGCGCCTTGACCGGGGGCTGAAAAATCTCTATTTCATAGAGCAATGTGCTACAGCAGATCAGAAGAAGCTTTGGGCAGTCATGAACACCGTAACAGGCAGAACGAAGAGTCGGCACGCACCACAAGTAACTGTCCCAGAGCTAAATGATTCATTTGGAGCCATTGTCCATGATCCCCATCGACCAGCCACATTGCCAATGCCAGCTGGCCCAACTGGCTCAGTGGGACTGACATCTTTCACTGCAGTTCAGATTCCTGATGTTTCCAAGTGCTTACACCGCATCAACCCCACTAAAGCTACTGGAAGCGATGGTGTTCCTGGTATAGTACTTAGCCGCTGCTCAGTCACCCTAGGTCCATATGTAACTCGTATTATAAACATATCCCTATCCGGTGGAAAGGTGCCAGTTTCTTTCAAGAGATCACATGTGAGCCCACTCTTCAAGGGAGGCGATGCGACATCGGCAAAGAACTATAGACCTGTTTCATTGTTACCTATCGTCTCACGTATATTGGAGTATTTTGTTAAGCAACAGCTGACAAACTTCTTGAGTCGTCATTGCCTACTCCACCCATCTCAGTTTCTATACCGTAAGGGTCATTCTACCGAGGATGTCCTGATCCTTGCCACCAACCATTGGTTATTAGCTAAATCTGAACGCAAGCACACGGGCATCGTCATGGTTGACATGTCCAAAGCATTTGATAGAGTTGACCATCGCCAGCTTATTCAAATCTTCTTTGAGTTTGGGCTTGGTGGTGTGGTGCTGCAGTGGTTTTGTTCATACCTGTCCGAACGTCAACAGTGTGTCAAAATCAAAGACCAAATTTCAACGCCAGTTCCATGCTCCAGAGGTTTTCCTCAAGGAAGTGTACTTGGACCTCTCTTATTATTTTGTTCTCTACATCAGTGATATAGCGTCTGTGTTTCCACATGAAGTTTGCAATCAAGAGTTTGCAGATGATATCGTTGTTGATTACTCCGACCGTGACCCTGCTGTTGTTTGTGCTGTGCTCACGACAGCAGTCACCAATTTTTCGTCCTGGCTTGAGGACAAAGGTTTGCTATTGAACTCAGCTAAGACTCAAGTGATGATTATTCGTGCCAGAGGTGCGTTTGGCGCTGCTCCGTCACTCGTCACCTGCAACAACAGTGTTCTGCAAGTCACACACGTGGCAAAATCCCTCGGTGTGTTTATTGATGACCAGCTAACTTGGGCACCCAACATCGAGTTTCTGGCGAAAAAATTGGCGGCGACCACTGGACAGCTTTGGAGGCATGGCCGGGCCTTGTCACTGAAAGCACGTCGAATGTGGTATATGTCTATGATACTATCTCATCTCTGTTACGCCTCTAATTGCTTCTTTCTTGCGCTTTCACGGTCTCGGCTAAATTGCCTTGTGAAACTGCATAAGTCTGGTATTCGTGCTGTGTTTCAGGCTCCCCGCCGCACTGCAACAGCTCAAATGCTTGCTAAGTTATCCATGCCATCACTTCACCAAGTCCTTTTACAGAAGCTGCTTGTATTTGTTTTCCGGTCTATACACGGATCTGCAAGCTCTCTTTTTCAAGATTATTTTGTATTACTTGCCCAGCCTCAGATACCACTTGCTGATCGTATAGTCACCCATGGGCAGCTGCATAATTTACTTCGCATCCCATTCCTACCCAATCCTGCTGGGAGATGTTCTATCCAATTTCTGGGCAGCACCACATGGAACTCTCTACCCGATGCTACCCGCTCTCTAACAAACCTTGTTCATTTTAAAAAAATCTCTTTCAGATCTTGATCTCACTTCACTCCATTAGCTATTGACACACTAGTACGTTCTGTACCCTGTCCATCATCAATATTATCTACATGTACAACCACAACACACATAAAATACACTGCTGCATGGTATTTTTATAAGTGTCCTGCTGACAGTCATGACATCTTATTACTTCCCATGCTGTTCATATTTGATCATATTATCTATCATACTATTATATTTTTCATCATAGCCTAGGAGCTGTGGCATCATTTATGATCCACAGCAAGAAGGTAGCAGCTGTGGTCACACAGGGTTCAGACAGGATTTCACTAATCCACGCTATCATGCACTTTTATGTTGCGTTCAGGAATATCCGAAACAACGCACTCATTGCGGGTCATCAACTATGCAGAGCGTTTCCTCAAGGAACACCGGAGAATCTTAATGTTCTAGCAGACTCTGCAGTTAGTGAATACATCAGCAGTAAGTATTCCTGTGCTCTCCCGGCCAGTGCAAAGCAGAATGTTCCCATCAGTCATCGAAGATAATGTATAAGGCGTCAAAGTGGATCTTGATAAGTAATTAGCGCAATGATAAGCTTCCAATTTGCAAAATCAAAGGCAGACTACTAGGTTATAAAACGCTTTGAAAGAGATATAGATTAAAATGAAGAGATCTTTTTCACAATTTCATGACGAACAATACCAAACAACTACAAATACGACATGCTTCCTTCTGAACACAACATTCAGGGTCTAACTTGCGTAGTGTACAAAGTTTCACAGCAAGATGTAGCAGAAACCTGAAAAAAGTACATTATCATGTCAGCCGGAACGTTCACCTTTTGTGAGCGGTTGTCTTCGTTTACATTTTTTTTTACGAGAAACCACGAACCTCGAGAACAGAAAACTGCATGATAGAGGTGGTTGCAGACGCAACTGTGGTGGTGAAACTGGAGCATCTCCGCCGACCTGAGGTCTCGGCTTCAGCGACACTTCAGAGCACCAAAAACTGGGGAGGAGTAGGCACAGGGGGAGGGGAGGGGAGGGGGTACATTTATATAGAGGAAGGAAAAACAGAAAGATGATACATGTGATAGAGGAAGAAAAATAAATAAAAATAAAATAAAAATAATAAAAATAAAAATTCGACGAGGAGACAATATTTTAAAATATGGTCTCCATCGCTTACATTGTTAATAAAGTAGTCCACATGTCGCTTCAGCTCGTCCTACTTATTGCCATAATAAAAATAAAAATGTGAAGAAATTGTGTAGAGAAAGAAAGGGATTCAAAAAAGTTTTCGCACAACACTCATCAGGAATCTTCGTTGTACTAAAGGACACTGAAAACAAAATTGAACTATTATAGAAAATCTAAGTTAGAGAAATAACACTTAGAACAACAGCAGTGAAATTTACAAGTGTGAATTTTAACAGTGAAAGCGAGAGCAATAACGAATGGGTGTACTAACACTAAACTTGCAACTGAAAAGTGAACAAAGAAGAGAAAGAAAGAAGGAAGGACAAAGTGATAACAAATAACAGCAGTACATTACACCTAGAACATTAACGGCCAAGCTTGGCCGCACCAAACATGACACTTTACTTGAACAATTTCAACCCAATTATACTATCTTTCTGTACACACAAATTAGGCTTATACAGACGCTGACAGATGGCTTCCAAAACCGTTACCTGTAGTATTTAACTCTTTGTTGGTTACTGTGAGTCGAAGATTGATGATTCATTGTGGCCTGACCTTTATGACATTGTACGTTTCGTGGACGATCATTCACATATTTTGATAATGAGGAGCGTAGTAACGAGTTTCTGGACGTGTTAAATGGTATTCACCCTGCCCTTCGTTTCACATGTGAGCATGAACAGTCCAACAAGTTGTCATTTCTGGATGTGCTGGTGGAAAAAACATTCATTGACATTTGTGGGAAGCACTCTTTGGAATGCCCTTCCCAGCGATATTCGCCTCCACAGTGCGGCGTTTGCCTTTAAACTGGCTCTGAACAGAATTAATTGTAATTTGTAACCACCTTGCTCGGCATCCCTACACATTACTGCATGTTTTCTCTGTGTTTTCTTCACTGCATGCTTACACATACACACACCCATTTGAATTATATACAAACTTTGTGCTTTAGAATTATCATGTTATGATTCTTTTAAATATTTCCTTCTCTCATAATATGGGCCTCAACCAGCGAAAACAGCCCTTAGGGTCAAATTTTTCAAAATTCCTTTTTGGTTAGAAATTAATTTTGTTGAAACACATCTACTGAAGGACCTCAGCCAAGAAAAATTTCAATATTCCGATTCAAAACGAGTGTATACACCAATATATTCAAGGTGTACTCCAAATTGGTGCAATGTATGTATGCGATGTATGTTTACAATAAATATTCAGCATTCTAAGATGGGTAGGCAGCTTGAATACCTTTGAAAGAGTGCAGTAAGCAGCTAGAATGACAAAGAATAGCTGAAGAGTGCGAAGACATGATCGACTTATTTGCAGCTGCATCCTGCGTGGAGTCGTTCCGCAATGACGGTCTTCCATTTCTTCCTCCGCAGCTGACGACACGACGTCGCTGCCGTCACTAGCCCCAGACTCAGAATTTATCTCAGGTGATGACTCCTCATCTTTCGACTCTGACGAGTCATCGACCACCTTGAGCCGCAACGCAGCAGGAGATGACGGCTGAGATTCCGCCTCGCTGTCGACATTGATGTCGGAACCAAAGAACGTCTCATCCTCACTCTGACCTTCAGCAGCTACTTCAGCATCCACTCCCCACCAGGTCCGAGCTACATGTACACAATGACTGCCGCGTGTGCTCTGCGAACAGCTCTGGCGTCCGCAGCCATCGCAACAAGATCAAGGAACACTCGAGTCGCCACTCGACACCACTTCAACTAACAAACTTCAAATAAATTCAAGCAAAGAGTTCAAGAAGGACTCGCCGCACTGTTCGCAGCGCGATCAAAAAACCGTTGAACGTCACAAATAAACCTTTTTCTTGGAAAAATTACGAAACCTCTAAGGGTCGTTTTCGCTGATTGCGGCTCATATTATATTCGTTCTTAGCAGGAACCGGAGGTTTTTCCTCTGGTGAGAAGGCAGAATTGCCTGTGCTCTAAACGAATTCAAATAAAAGAAACAAACAAACAAACTTGTAATCTGATGTAGTATTGACGGTTATCCTTGCTCCTTTTTCTTTTCTATAAATTAATCCTTGGCCCTCCATCATAGTCCCTTCTTGCACACCTGATGAGCCTCCTTATCTATGCGACTAAACGATCGTCATGTGAAACACTGTTTGTTACCGCTGCTTATTGTCCATCTAAATTGTCATAGTCGAAGTACAGTGCTGTTTTACTGAGGGGGTCGGGTTTGCATAATTCTTCCTTCCCCTTATATTGATCTTTGCATCTTTTAAGCCACACAAGTTGGGTGGAATGTTCTTATCTATACGACGAAACGATCGTCATGTGAAACTGCTGTTTGTTACCTCTGCTTATTGTCCATCTTAATTGTCATAGTCGAAGTACAGTGCTGTTTTTACTGAGGGGGTCGGCTTTGCATAGTTTTTCCTTCCCTTTTATTGATCTTCGCATCTTGTGAGCCACACAAGTTGGGTGGAATGTTGCTTTGCGTCCGTGAATTGCGGTTGACTGTCCAACGGTCTTGTCAGTAGAATCATCCACATGCATGAACCACCGTCAACGTCCTTCACAGCTGAGACTTTCTGCTCGTGCTTGTCTTCGTTGCGCTCACCTTCCCCTCCTTATGTTATTTCTATGAACCTTCCAAGTTGGAATGCTGTTGGAGAGCGCCTCCAAGATGTTTTAGATTGGTTTTTTTATTTTATTTTTTACTATATTCATATACCCAACTCATAAATAATACAGAAGACAATGGTACTGAGACAAGGACAAACGTGACAACTACTGAGAAGGGGCTGCACCGAGGTGCAGCAGTGATGGTGGGGCATTGATGGCTCTGCCGACCTGAGGTCTCAGCATCACGGCCAGAAACACGCACCAAAAACAAAAGATAGAGCTGTAAGGGTCACCAAAAATAAAAAGAAAGCAAGGGCAAGCAGCAGCTAGTACTACTGTGCAGCGCATTCGTAGCAATGGGAGTCGTTGAGGGGGCACTAGAATGTAGGTGGGTCGACAGGCAGAATGTCCGTGGACCATCGCCAATCCTGTCGACGGAGGTATTCGTTGACGTTGCACTTAAACTTTTGAAGATTTTTGCGAGTTGGGGCGGAGTCTAGAAAAGCTGGCGACAGGGAATTCCACAGCTGGATTGCACAATGTGGGAAGCTGCGGAGAATGGTGTCCGGTGCTTGACGCGGTAGGGGATTTCGTAGCTGGTAACTGTGGCCGGCGGCCATGCGGAGATAGTTTCGAGTGCGAGTGGCGTCACGGGGCTCAAGCCTTGGTGGGAGGACTGCTAGCAATTGAGTCGGACCGGTGATGAAATGCAGTTTGTAAGTGTATGTTAATGCAGCAACGTATCACCGTAGGCTGAGGCTCTGGAGCTCCGTCCCGGGACCAATGATGCGCAATGCACGGCGTTGGATGCTATCTAGGCGTGATAGATGGGAGGAAGCAGCTCCCATCCAGACGAGCGGAGCATACTCCAAAACGGGCCGTACAAACCCCTTGTACACCGTGAGGCGGCCTTCTTGGGAGAGATAGGGCGCAGCTCGCCGCAGGAGGCCCAAGCGCTGATTGCCACGTATAGAAACTGCGCGGATGTGCTCCGCGAAGGACAGCTTCGGATCAAAATTCACCCCCAAGAGCTTTATTGTGGATGACTCTGGCACAAGGTTGCCTCCAAAGAGGAGAGAGGGCAAGGATAGCTGCGCTCTTTGCAGCGTGACTGTCATAGCCTGGGATTTCGACGGCTCAAACGCTACACGCCATTCCTTGCCCCAGTCTGACAGATGATTGACGTTGTCCTGAAGCAAGGCAGCAGCTGTGGGAGGTCGTTACGGAGAAAAGTGTACAATGTCGTATCGTCAGCATAGGCTTCCAGCTGCGTGTTCCCAGCAAGGCATGGTGATACGTCGTTAATGTATATGAGAAACATGGTCGGCCCCAAGATGCTGCCTTGTGGGACTCCAGCCTTGATGGGGTATGGACGGGAGGTTGTACCACCGAAAACACACTGTATACTTCGGTTAGACAGGTACGATGTCAGCCATGCAAGGAGGATTCCTTGGATGCCACATTGCTGTAGCTTGAAGAGGACACCTGCGTGAGAGACCTTGTCGAAGGCTCCAGCGATGTCAACTGCAAGTACGCGTGCTGCACCCCCGTGTCCGATAGAGGATGCCCAGGAGTGGTGTAGCGCAGTAAGAGCGTCGGCTGTACCCAGATTCCGTCTGAAGCCAAACTGATTCGCTGCAAGCAGTGAGTTACCCTCGAGGTAGTTCGTAATTTGCATGTTGATAATGGTCTCCATTACCTTGGATATCACACTAAGGAGGGATACGGGGCGGTAGTTCTTGAGCTGTGAGCGAGATGAGCGTTTATGCACAGGAACAACACTGGCGAGCTTCCAGGCCTGAGGTTGGTATCCGTGCCGGAAGCACAATGAGAAAAGCTTGGTCAGGACTGGTGCGAGTACCGGAGCGCATTCTTTCAGGACACGGGGGGAGATGCTGTCCGGCCCCGTGGCTTTCGACGCGTCGAGACGACGCAGGAGGCGGTGAACATTCTGGATGCGGAAGTGGACGTGGGTGAGTGGAGGATGTGGGTGAGCAGGCGCTGGGGTTCCAAGGGAGGCACGATGTAGGTCCCTGTCACCCAGGCTGCACTTGCCAGCAAAGAAGTGGTTATCCAGTAAGTAGTAGAACATCAGTACCGTCGGTCCGTGTCGTGCAATGTTATCGCATGAGCTGGTTGTTTAGTAACTGATGGCGTTAGTGGATATCACAACGTTACTTGCAGTTCCTTGCTCCTTTTTCTTTTCAACAAATTAATCCTTGGCTCTCCATCCGACTAGGTTTTTCGTTAAGTTTCGTTTTTGGCGATTTTCCGGCCAGCCGATTTGGGGAACGCCTAGACTTGAAGCGGGAGATTACAAGAATTTGGTCCCTCACCCAGGTTGACGTGGTCCCTGTGGTTTTCGGTGCCCTGGGAGGCTTGGTGAGAGAGACTCCTCAATGCCTTCGGACTGTGAAGGAAGGAAACCTGGGTATTGTGCAACATGAGGCTATCATATTATAAGGTTCGGTTAAAACTCTAAGAACTGACCTTAACATGTAGATGCACATCTGCTGCGTTGTCATGTTCAACAGCCAAGAGACTTGAATACCGATGTTAAAGATATTAACATCATGTACTAACGACCAATCGTTACACGGATTGAGACTGCTACACTGCAGCATTCGATGCTACAAAGGCAGAACTCGTCTCCCTATCTGTGCTAGCGTTCTTTCAGCACGGCAATGCACTCCGGCTTGAGACAGACGCTTCAGTCCTGAACAGCCTCGGGTACGCTGCTTGGCAAGACGACAAGTGGCGCTTGCTTCAATGTGGCGGTCGCTATCTCTCGGACGCTGAAAAACGCTATGCAGTCATCGAGCTTGAGCTGCTAGCAGCTGTATGGGCCGTACACAAGTTTTCCCTGTTCTTGTCCGTTGCACCGTTTGAGCTCTGTGCTGACCATCGCCCACTTATCCCGATCTTGAACTCGTATTTTCTTGACCAGATCGAGAACCCCCGATTGCACCGTTTGACACTGAAGTTGCGCCCGTGCCAGTTTGTTGTCAAATTGCGCAAAGGCACCTAAAATGCTTTTGCCGACGCTCTCTCTTGGCATTCAGTTGACACACCTCACAGTGATGAAGAATGTGGCGAGAATCCAGCCCTCAGTGCGCCCGCTGTTCGCGCGTGCCTACAAAAATGATGACGGCCATAGCGAAGATCTCCGCTTGAGCGAGCTACTTGAAGCTGCGAGAGCTGACCCTGATTATCAAGCCCTTGTGCACCCCGTTCGTCATGTTTCCCCAACTAATTCGGCTAATGCCGACCCTGCTGTCAAGCCATACTTGACCGGCCGTGATCAGTGATCTCGTCCTTAAGGGCCAATGCGTTGTCGTTCCTCCTGCCCTTCGTTTCCTGTTTGAAAGTGGTTGTGGCACGAGTAGAAAAGGGAGTCAAAGCCAGGGTGTTGATTCAGGAAAAGATTTGCGCAAGGAGTTATCGTGTGGAGCGATGCATATGTAGATAAATTTGTGTAGTGACAACGACTAACAAATCTCTTGGCCTAGCATGCAATCTTAAGTTATGTCTGCAATGACAGTGGTAGATAAAGGGGTTTGACAGCGAGCAAGATAACGCTCTGCAGTCGGAGTCGCCACCTGCTCAGTACAGATCCATTACGAAATGAGTGGAAGTGCTGGCTTGAAAATGCAGAACATGAACAAGCAGTGTCATGTGCCAGTGATTGATTGTGATGCACCTCCTGCATCTCTTGTTCAGGGCGTCATTTGAGACGGCTCGAGGATGATGTATGCCTATGATGGTTCGCAGCTGCCGCAGATGGAATGAGTCCCATGTGGATACCTCTCTGCTGGGCAGGCCCCATGTCCAATAATTGCAGTTCATCAACCATCGGTTTTGATTGTTTTCGTTCTTGCAGGTCTCAATTCAACATTTTGTTCCCAGAATTGTGACAATGCACCAAAAGGAGAGTCTACTTGCAGCACTGGCTATAGATGTATGGGTGCTTTATGGAACTATACATGCCACAGTAAGTATCTACTGTTAGAACACCACTCTATACATGCCAAAGGAAGTATCTACTGTTAGAACACCACTCTATACATGCCAAAGTAAGTATCTACTGTTAGAATACCACTCTATACATGCCAAATGAAGTACCTACTGTTAGAACAACTCTCTATACATGTCAAAGTAAGTACCTTGACTGACTCACGACTGTCATCCAGAGCACACAAGAAGTCCATCGAACCTTCGACTCGGCAAACCTGCAAGAAAGCACCACTCCCTGCTAAATACACAGTTTTTCGGGGAATTCATCCCTCATTAGAGAGGTTAAGTTTCATGTAAAATTCTTACGTCCGTGAACTTTTACGTCAAAAAGTGAAAAAACTCACGTAAAATTTGACGTGTTTTACGTGAGTTGACTGTCCCGCAAGTAACTTCATGACGTGGGTTTTTGGAAGTTTCGCTTGGTTATCCCGACCAAATTTGTGTGAGTTTCCGGAGTTGCATCGAGTTTTATCGAGTTTGTTGGAAGATTTGATATTTGTGCGAACTAAACCCGAATCCTGCCAGGCAAAATTTCACGTCACGTCGCACGTGTAACTTAACTTCTAAAAATTACACGTAACGTGAGATTTGCGCCACGTTTTGAAAAAGGGCAAAAAACGTGTAACTTTTAACCTCTCTATTAGTTGAGCTCGAGTAGGCTGAGGAAGATTGTGCCTGAAAAGCACCACTTATACTTATAGTGCTCTCCAGCCTACTCAAGCTCAACTGATGTGGGGTGAATTTCCCGAAATACTGTGTATTGAGCAGGGAGTGGTGCTTTCTTGCAGGTTTGCCAAGTCGAAGGTTCGATGGACTTCTCGTGTGCTCTGGATGGCAGTCGTGAGTCAGTCAAGTGTTAAGTAAAGTTGGCGGAATAGTGCGAGCTCCGGTGTGGGGAGCAAACCCTTTCTTACATATCAAAATTTTCCTTTAGATTATACTGTTTCTAATTTTCATTTTGATTTCATCGGCGTGTTACATCTTGTGTATTTTTTTGTATTCTTCCTTCTTTCCATGTCATGTTGAATAAAAACGGCGTTTCAGTAGCAGTGGTAGACATATCCGCGACGTCTGACATACTGAGTAACCTCACAGATGTGCAGCCAACACCATCCTCACTTCCACTATCAGACACCTGTAAGTTACACATTAATACAGCCTTCTTGTAGGCGTTAATACAGCCTTCTTGTAGGCGTTAATACAACCTTCTTGTAGGCGTTAATACAACCTTCTTGTAGGCGCTCTCAGCATTTGCAGCCTCAGGAACAGAGTTGTATAAGTACAACGCGTTTTGCACCATTTTAACCGATATATATATTTATTTTAAACAAGAAGTGAGGCAGAAAACATTAGAAAATATACAATCTATGCGTGCATCTGCGCAAGAAAACACCACCAGCCAATTAGGATATGTGAAACTAGTATTGAACGTTTTCATTCCCTTCTTCTCAAAATGCTACAGGCGGTGATGGCAATTAACTAAGAGACTGAAAAAATACAGATGATGAGTTCAGAAAAACTGCAATCCATTTATCCTTCTTCTTTTCAATCAATTTATCCTTAGGTCTCCCTCCGAGTCCATTCTTGCACACCTGATGACGTCCTTTTCTATACGGCGAAACCATCGTCGTTCGAAACTGATGCTTGCTACTGCTGCTTATCATCCTTTTAAGTCGAAGTACTGTTTCACTGAGGCGTTTGAGTTTGCATGATTCGCGTTTCCATAGCTTCCCATGTTATTGATCTTTGCATCCTGAACCCACACAAGTTGTGTGGAAGGTTGCTTTGCGTCCTGGAATTGTGTTTTGACCGTATTGTCCAATGGTCTTACCAGTATCGTCATCGACTTGCATGAACGTCCACCAACGTCCTTCTCAGCTGAGACTTTCAACTCGTGCTTGACTTGGTTGCGCTGACCCCTCCCCTTCCCCCCCCCTCCCCCCCCCCCGTTATCATATACCTTAGAATCTTCCAAGTTGGAAGGCTGTTGGAGTGCGCATCCGAGATGTGCTAGAGCTGTTAGTCGGTTAGTTGTACATTGTCAGTACCGTCGGTCAGTGTCGTCCAATGGTATCGTATAAGCTGATTGTTTAGTAACTGGTGACGTAAGTGTTATTGTTGTTGTTGTAGAAGTTTATTTAACGTCGCACCGCAAACAGGTGATTTCGCCTCCTTTGATACATATGGACGACAGAAGGAATAAGAGAGAGGGGGGGGGGGGGACAGAAGTATGCAGAGAGGAAGGGTAGAAATAAATAAGCAATCAACCTCAGGGCTACACCAAAGCAAAAACGGAATGGGAACATACTACAAGTATAGACAAAATAGCTTCATACAAAACACGTTTACTATTCTTCAGTCCGCTATACAACAGAAACACACTAGCCGAAAAGCACTTAAACGGAGCCATGATGCGCTTTTAGCAGGGCACAGCACTGAAGGTGGCTGGGCTCGGAACGGAGATCAGGCGGGAGCTGGTTCCACAGGACTGCGCCGATGAACTGCATGGTCGCTTGACCCGCAGGACCGGGCCAAAATGGTACTCGAACGAGGTGATGTGCTGCTTCCCGAGTGCGGTCACCAGTAACTCTCACGAAGAAGCTGCTGAAGAGGGAGCTAGCTCGGGAGAACAGACAACGACGGACAAAGATGAGGAGCTTAATGTTAAACATGTCCTCCAGGGTGGTGAGGCGGAGCTGTTCAAAGATCGGGCTCGTACGCGACCACGGTGGCAGACTGAAGAAGCCGCGGATAGCGCACTTCGTTAGACGAGTGAGGGGCTCCATGTTGCCAATTTGAAGTGACGGATAAAGGCGTTGGAAGCGTACGACAACCTACCCTGGATCATTGACCTGTAAAACAGGATCTTTGACGCCAGGGTGAGGCTTCGGCGGCTTCGCCACAGCGCTTCTACTGACTTCCGCACCTGCTGGATTGTGTGATTGACGTGAGGCTCCCAGGAGAGCTGCCCATCTACCATTCCGCCCAGGTACCGCGCTTGTTCCACAACTGCAGGGGCTGCATTCCCACAGCGAATTCGAATGTTATCTGTGTCAGGGGCTAGGCCCCTTGGGGTAATCAACAGAGCTTGCGTTTTCTTTTGGTTCAGCATTAGTCCGCGGTCCTCCAACCACTGCGACAGGCCAGTGATGGCTGTGCTTAGAGAAGAGCACACTTGTTCGCAACTGCCCGAGGCTTCAATTGCAATGTCGTCTGCAAATTCCTGGTTTGTGATCTGCTGGGGCAAGCAGCATCGAAGGTTACGGATGCATAGTGTGAACAGGAGGGGGCCGAGGACGGATCCTTGTGGCACCCCTCGACTGCATGCGACGTATTCCGAGCAATTTCCGCCCACAACTGCGCGTTAAAGCCGCTCACTCAGGTAACTAGTGAACCATAGCTGGACAGTACCGCCGACCCCAATGTCGGATAGCTCCTGTGCCAAGATGGTGTGTTTGACACAGTCGAAAGCCTTCGACATATCCACGAATATCACACATGTGAGTTTGCGCTCATACTTCGCTTTCAGCCAGCGATGGACAGCTAGCACAAGAGCGTCCTCCGTGCTGTGGTTCTTCCTGTACGCGAACTGCGAGTCAGGGAGAATACTGTGATCGGTCAGAAAGGATGTAAGCTGAGCTTTGACGATCTTCTCGAGGAGGCGAGAAACGACTGGTAGTAAAGAAATAGGTCGATACGCAGTAGGCTGACAAGGGTCAAGGCCGCCACCTTTGAATAGCGGCGACACATTAGCAATTTTATCCTGACGGGGAACACACCCCTGACATAACGAAGTATTGAAAATCATGCTGAGCGAGGGAGCCAGTATTGATGTCGAGTTTCTAAGGACAATACCCGGCAAGTCATCATGTCCAGTTGCTTTTGATGCGTCAACGGACTGGAGAAGGGCCGTAATGTCCTCCGTCGAAACAGGCGCAAATTCCGTGAATGCTGGTGCTTTACGTTTGGCTGGTGCGTTGGCGCACAGCGCGTCTGGTCTAGGGTCATGTACAACTTCGCCAAAAGTTCGGGAGAGGATTCCAACAGGTACTTGTGATGGGCTTTAACATTTCGCTCATCCAGTCACCACGTTTATCGTATTCCAGAGCTTCCGTCCATCCTTTCCGGCGTACTGAACATTTTAGGGCAACTTGTAATTCCCCTGGAAGCAAAAACTTCGTGGCTTTTGGACATGACTTTTCAAGGAGTGACTGTGGTCCACACAAATGCTTCAAAACATTCAATCGACATATCTAAAATATCTACAGGATCAAATAGTGGGAGTAGAGTCTCAGTCTGGGTTGCCACCACTCAACTGATCACCGCTGAAATCGTTTAAAGGGATAGGTCGATCGACGCCATGTTGTATGTCAAGGAGAAGCTTCTCCGCGTCCCTGGTCGTCTCCGCTGTTACCTGAATGCCTTCGGCAACATCTCCGCGGAGACCAAGGTAGCGCCGCAGCGCTGGTACTCATCACCGCTCGAGGATGCCCAGGAGCAAAAAACACAGGCAACTCCAAACATTTCAAATTTCCTCCGAGAGATATCATAGTCGTACCACCATTTCCCGACAGTGGCAATCAGATCTTGCCTTCTCCTTTGTGACCAAGGAAACATCATCTAGGCTGCTGGAAAAGGCGTTATCATCCACGTTGAGGTCTGGGCTCTTCAGTGGCTGAACGACTTCCATTTTAAACTTGTTCATCTTGCTCTGCTGCACGAAGTGACGATTGTCACATCTCTGCGTTTTGAAGTTTGGACATCTTGCTGACCTGTTCGCATGCAGACAGTCGTTTCAGGGATAGTGAAGATTTCAAAGCGCTAGCTGCTAATGCTATTCATTTTCCATTCTTCTTGCACCTCGATGCCATTTTCTTGCTCTGTAAAGTTCTGAATGAAAAAATAGCTACGACGAGCAAAAAATGAATAGCAGTGAGTGCAGTACTTTTCTTCCCATGGCGCCTGAAAATGAAAAAGAACGTACTACCTAACACCTACTTAAACCAGCACAGCCCAATAGATGATAATTGGTCGCGGATCAGATGTTCGGTTTCCTTCAAGCGATGCATTAGCTTGCTGAGAGACATTGTCATAAGCACTTACAGTATGTTTATAGCCAGAGCATTTTCTGCGCCGTGGCTGTGGATAGCACTAGACTAATCATAATGGAATAGTATTATCAAATCAGCAATGCCCAGGGTAGGGCGGAAGCCAACCTGACGGGCAGAGAGGACCTTATCATATTCCAGAAAGTTGACAACGGTCTGATCGATGATGGCTGTTGCAAACCACCAGTTCTCAATTGGGAAAGGCCTTTCCGCTTATGGCATTGTATTCGTTGCAATGTTGTATTTCGACTCCGCCGTACCGCTGATGTTGCTGCATGGCATACGCTATATGCGCTGTGTGCGTTTTGCTGTATACGCTGTTATGTCCAGTTTTATATGCGTATGTTTTTGCATGTACGCTGTTTTTGCATGCTATAAATAGCTGGTGTTATTAGTGTTCAGTGTTAATTATTCGATGAAGTGAAATATACTGTGTAAAGGAAAAGAGTTGTCCTCGTGCCGTGTGGTCGTACGATCCTGACAATTTAGAGAATCTTAGAGGGTTCACAACATTTGGCGACCACGCCAGGATAGGAGCGAGCATGGCAGAGCAACTACACAATTTGGAAGCCAGTTCTATCGCCAATGGAGTTCGGTTAGGATTAGAAGGCGAGTTGTTGATAGAACATGTGGAGCAGAGGCTCCAACAGTACAAGGAGCGTGAGGAGCGCAGTGCCAGACGGCGAGAAGAGGCGCTCCGCACCGAGTTTGACAAAACACTAAAGGAGATTAACGAGCGCATCGCCAATTCGTATGAGGGTGATGGTAAAGCCGCGATGGGAGGCACAGAGGAAGCTTCCTGTCACAGCGGGGGGCGTCAACCGTTGATGAAAATCCCCTCATATGATGGAACGCAGCCATTGGAGCGTTACCTTGACCTGTTCGAGAACATCTGTTCCAAGAACGAGTTCGAAGAAAGCGAATGGCTGCTGCGACTGCGCATCACGCTAGCGGGTAGCAAAGCGGAGAGGATATGTATTGGATGCAACAATTACGAGGAAGCAAAGCGAGAGTTGCTTGCCTCGCTCG